TAAATTGCTGATACGCAATCGAAGTCATTTTTACAACATCATCATTGTTAGCTTCCTCAACATTCACATCTTTACCGTGTCCGATCTGTGCACATCAGAAATATAAAAAAGGTGAGAAGACATTTTTGCGGGATTATTTGCAAAACATTCAATGCTAACCTTCTTTGTTTCCACAGGGGAAGTTGAATCTGAATCTAAAGTGCTATGGAAAAGTTTACAACCCGAAGAGGTTGCCTCCTTATTGTATGGTAAGCGCAGTTGCTTTCCAAAGAATTTACCTGATTCATCAAACGTAAGAAGGGTTTCCTTCTCGTAAGTGATTTGAACTTGGTGCTAATACAGTATGATAATTATAGAGATTCTTTTCAGGAATGAATGCATTAATAAAATTAAAAATTCCAATATTTTCTTTGGTCTTACCCGTAGTCGCTCAGTGATCACTTCTTGCCAAAAGGAGTACAGGTTGGATTTGGCACGCTCCAGGTTCACCTTATTAAATAGAGTAGAAGTAGATAACAATATATAATTAGAGTATACAATTAGTCGTTTCAACACCTTAATAAACCGAACCGAAAACACAACAGAGCAGAACGCAATGGTAGGAACCAGGAAGACTCATGATGCTCCAAGACAAGTAACACGTGGCAAGGAGTTTTCCATACCATCACTAGGGCCAGGAAGACTCATGATACTCCAAGACAAGTAGACACGTGTCAGGGAGTTCCCTTACTGCAATTAAACTAGAATGAAATTACTGGAATGAAATTACCTTACGCTCAAAAGCTTCCCCTAACGTTAAGTCTAATAGCTATTTTCCTGCTTGTACAAATCGCTTATTCCATGTACCATCGAGAGTATTCCACTGATCTCTGAATTGATGATAAGGGTACGATTTACTTCCAAAAAATCAACGTATGACCAAAGGCTGGGATCAGTCTCTTCCAAATAATTTAAAAGAGCTATCGAAACGAAACATGATTAGTAACTAAAATATCTTTCCCAGTATTTCATTACCATGCTTGCCTGTTCGGCCAGGATATATCTCGTCGGTATTGGACATCTTGTAAAATTATGACTGTGGTTCGATATAATAACTATCGCGAGAAACTTATGGTTCGATGTAATAACAAAGTGATGGCGAAAAAATTGTGCGGGCATGTGATCGCCGAGGTAGCGGTTTGCTCGGAAATTAGGTGAGTTATCCAACAGGAGAGACTGTACCTATTTTTAGAAACTAT